CTTCCTTCCTTCCTTCCTTCCTTCCTTCTTTCTTTCTAACCTCTTTTGGTGCTGGGGAATGGGGATAGAACCTGGAGCCTCACACATGTGCTGAGGGCAAACTTTGTCACTGAGCTAATTCTTCTCCAGCCCCTTAGCCTTTCATTTTATCCTGAGATGATGAGTCATTACTAAAGTGACCTTTGGGTGAAGAGTTATTGCTTTCTTTTAAGTCACAGCTGGGGAACAAAGGCAGGTGGCTGATGGCCTGTGCCATTTTAGGTGACATGCAGTTTACAAATTGAGATTGCTATCCAATCAGTGTGGGAAGGTCAAAAACCTACCTGGCTTTTTGAAATTGAAGTGTGAATGGTGGAATAACCATCTCCACAACTTTGATTTATATGTATTATGGTCTGCTTTGGTGTAGACTAGAAGTTTACAAACAAATGTAAGGCAAATTCTCTAATTCAGATGTTTTTGGTGAGATATTTGAAGGAACTAACAATAATACATAGTCCAGCAATAACTAAAACACAACAATCAGACAGGTCCCAATCAAATGACATTTTGCAAAATGCCTAACCAGTATTCCTCAAAACTGTTAAGATTATCAAAAGCTAGGAAAGTGTGAGAACAGAAACTGTTCATATAAGAGCAGCATAAGAAGAAATGGTCCTAAATGGGACCCTGGATTAGAAAAAGGACATTAGTGAGATTCTGTCTCAAAATAAAAAATTAAAAAGAGCTGGGGATATAGCTCCATGGTAAAAGTGCCCCTGGGTTTAGTGCTCAATACCAAAAAAAAAAAAAAAAGAAAGAAAAGTAGAACATTGGTTAAAGTAACTAAGGAAACCTGAACTGAATAAAGTGTAGACTTTAGTTGATAAACAATATAATATTCTTTCATTAATTCTTTCATTAATTGTGACAAGTATAGCATAATACTGTAAGATGCTAATAAATAGGGAAAACTGGTTTTGGGATATATGTGAACACTCTGTCATATCTTTGTAACTTTTCTGTAAATCTAAAACTATTATAAAATAGAAAATATATTAAAAGCACACACACCATTACTACCAGGGCATGTCTCCGTCTCCCAAAGTCTGTCAACACACCCACAGTTACATATTGTTCATCACTTGGCCCGCCTTCAAGAACCATCTTGCAGTTTGAGTAAAATAGTAACTATTCTCCTCACCTCCCATGTGCACAGTAGACTAGGCAACTATTGGTAAATATGCCATCTTTCTCTGCATTGGAATTGGACACAGGCCATTCCTGTTACAGCTAACGTGCAGTAAGTTGAACTTCCCTCCGTGCTACATCCGCATTGCCCCCACAGTACAGTGTTATATATTATCAGTGTTATATATTAAAAATCAGTGTTATATATTAATATCTGGTGGCCTGCTTCGAAGGGCTCGGGGTTCGTAGCCCACCAGTTTTCTGCAGCAAACTCACTGTTGAAAACTATGGGGGTTTGCTGTTTCCTACCTGTGTATGACTCTGTGGTTCTCAACTTCTCCATGGACTTCTGTTCTCCTGACTCTTCTGGTCAGAGGCCAGCTCAGCCCCTGGGCTTCCCACAATGAGTTTATCCAGATTGGGTGCCCCCCACCCAAATGTCTTCTCTGTGTACTGTTGGTTATAAAACTGCAAGGATGGTGCCAAGGTGGCCTCTGCAGGTCCAGCTGGAGAAACACTTACTGAACTGTCAAGCACTCGCCCCTAGGGACAGCCATGAACCAGGCACCTGCAGCTCAGGTGCTTGCAGTATGCATATAAAAACTATGACATGCAGTCAGTGGTAATGATTATTCACTGGAATACTCTGGATAAGTTAAAAGAAAAAATAAACTATGACTCTACAAACAATTGGCACCAGAAATGAACAGGGAAATAAATAAAGCTGTGTGTGCTCACTTAAGAGAATCCCTGATGAGAATTGGATCATTAATGAAAATAGAGGCACCAAAGTCCTGCAACAGTGCTATTTTCTTACTGAGTGAAAAAAAAAGTAAAAACAATTAATACCATTTGAATTCACAAACCTTAATAATTAATGTCTTTGGGCCCTGTGGTTGAGAGTGTCCAGGCCCCCATTCTTCATCCCTTCCTGCATCGTTACCATTTGTGATGTAACTTTGGAGTCTTCCTGACAGACAAGTGAGAAATAATAATTGTTGTGTTAACTCTTGGGGTTGGGGTGATTTTTTTTCAGTCAGAGTTGACTCAGGGTCTGCTCACAGGGGTCCATGGATCCTGGTTTGAGGAATACCCCTGACATGTGGCCAAAGAAAGCAAATAGCCTCTTCCAGCTGCACACTTGAGCGATTCTTTTTTTTTTTTTAAATAAAATCACATTAAAATAATTTGTTTCTTCTAAAACAAACTCCTGAACTAATAAAATTAAATTCTGTTTTTTTGTTTTTTTTTTTTTAAAAAAGGAAAATCTATTAAGAGTAAAAGGCATTTATCGGTGTCCAGTTAGGAAAGAGAATTCACTCAATAATTCACACAGGGACGGTTTAGAATAAAGAATTGTTAACTAGGAGCAGAAGTTACCTACTAAGGGGTAAAGAAAGCTTTTAATGAGTAGAAGAATAGCACACAGAAAGAGCAGCCCCTCCATCTAAGGTTGAAGCAGAGAGCCCAAGGACAGGACAGATTTGGAAGGGTCTCATCCTTCACCCAGAGCTGATTCAGACGCTGCAGAGGGAAATGGCTGTGCCCAATGGACAGCAGAGGAATTCCCCAAGAGGCTTCAGGCCAGGGCTGGCGATTAGGAAACCAACCCCCTAGAGCATCACTCCAGCTGCTGGGATGCCACCCATTAGGGCATCTACAAGACCCATCGAGTGTCATGAGGAAGGTGTCCACAGAACTGCCAGAAGAATTCACTGGGGAGCCTGCTGAAATGGTCGCAGAATCCACCAAGAGGCCCCCCACTTGGTGCCACTAAAACTTACAAGGAGTGAGGGCCTATGGATGTCCTGCATTGCTGGCTTCCACTCACCACAGGTGCAAGCAGAGAAGAGCAACAGTCAAGGCGGGAATTCCCTTCTTCCTCCAGTGTCCCTCCAGTGCCCTCTGTTGACAGAGTCCAGTCCTAGTATTGCAAAACCCACAAAGGTGGATTGGAGATGAGAGATACCAAACCAGTAACTGGCACAGGCATTGTTAGCATTGAGAAGCTTCTGAGTGCTTCCTACACAACCTTTTGCCTTTGTAAGTGTTCTTTTTCTCTGACCACCAAAAACTTGTCTTCTCCTTCTACTTAAGACAGTAGGTACCACAACTTTGGGACTTAACATACTGTTCAAAATAAAAAGGCAACAAGTGGTGTTGTAAATAGAACCCCTGTAGCAGCCATGATCTTATCTGGGTAGCAGGATATCTACCTGTGATTTAGATTAAGGGATTTATTGTAGGAGCTAGACCTTACACAAATATGGGAGCTGGTGATGCAGTCTATACAAGTTATTGATTCTGCATCTAGTATTAAACCTGAAGTTACTATAGGTCCATCAGATTAGCAGCTAAGAATGAAAGTTGGAAAGCAAGAACAAATGAGAATCCACTTCTGTCTCTTTCTACAACCAACCGGCTGTGGGTACCCTACAAGAGGAAATGGTGCCCTTTGTCAAGGAGTAGTACACACACTTCGCCCAGGACTCCAAGAAATTGAAGGAGGAAATCTGGTGGGAGCTGGAGCCTGGTACATCAACTTTTAAACAGTAGGTTAACAACAATGTGTTCAGACTGCCACGGTGCTTGGTATCTGTTATGGCTCGAATATCTGTCCCCTCCAAAATGCATGTTGAAATGTAATTGTCATATAACAGTTCTAAGTAGTGAGACTTTTAAGAGGTGATTGGAATATTGCCATTATGAAAGGGGGAATATTGTCATTATGAAAGGGATGAAGAATGGGGGCCTGGACACTCTCAACCATAGGGTCCAAAGTCATTATTAAGGTTTGTGAATTCAAATGGTATTAATTGTTTTTAAATTTTTTTCCACTCAGTGAGAAAAATAGCACTGTTACAGGACTTTGGTGCCTCTATTTTCATTAATGATCCAATTCTCATCAGGGATTCTCTTAAGTGAGCACACACAGCTTTATTTATTCCCCTGTTCATCACTCTCTCTTTGCCCTTCCACTTTCTGCCATGTGATGATGCACTGAGAAGGCCCTTGCCAAATGCAACCAC